ATATCAAGTTTCATTAAATTATTTTTGAGCAGATCAGAAGTTATGGGTGGGACAAGAGGAAGATTTTGGGCAGACGGACGGAAACTATACCATAATACATCTGCCTTTCGATGGGCTTCTAAAAAAATGTTAAATTTATGAATACATTTATATTAAAATAATACAACAAAGGAATGATATAGCTTGAGCTAACAAAAAGACCAGGTCAATGTCTGGACGTTGTGGAGGAAGAAAAGCCTGGTCTGGATGAGAAATGAGCAGGTGTAAAAAAAAAAAAGAAAAAAAAAGCAAAGTGGGTGAAGTGGAAGGAATGAGTGCCGAGGCCAGAAGGGATAATGGGGGGAGGTTGGAGAACGATGTGGGAGGGGGTTGAGAAGCAACATATGACAAGGGCAAAGGTTCACAGGGGCGACACGACGGAGACAACAACGCATGACAGCCTGCTGTTATCAGGAAGCGTGTGAGATGGAAGAGAACACGCTGAAAGGTGAGAAACTCATCACAAAGAGATGGTTTGTTCATCTGTTGGTGTTTAAAGTTAAAAAACCAAAAGCTACTGACAAAAATCAATAAACCAATAACACTTTGTATTTAAGGCACAATAGGAACATGTAGAATGGATGACACAGCTCTAACATTCCTGCAGCACACGACTACTTTTAAACATGAACCAAAAATTTACAAATCTGCCTGAAATTTCTAATCAGTTTCTAATACACATAAACTTTAATGTTTTGCTTTAAAATGAGAAAAAAAAGAGGCTATATGTGCTCAAAATGGAGAAAGGTGGTGGCCTAAACAAATTAACAGCTAATGGTAATGTGCACATAAGAGTTACAAAAGCTGAACAAAAAAGACAACTTAAGAAAAATTTAATCAAAGACAAACTTGTAAAATATTAAGTCAAGTCAAGTCAACTTTATTTATAGAGCACATTTAAAACAGAACCTGTTATCAAAGTGCTTAACAACAACAACAACAACAATCAATGAGAGTAAAATTAAAGAGAAAAAAATATATATACACAATACACTAATAATAATAACTGAAGAATTAATAAAAAGCATTTAAAACATAGGGTCACAGATTAAAAAACACTAGATTATTATTTATACTATATGATATATACTATATTATTATTATTATTAAGTAAAAGAAAATTGCAGTAATAATTCTAAGAACTAGATGGAAGCAACAAATACATTTCTATTGTTTAGTTTATTGTATGGTACATCCAGGGGTGATTCTAGAATCTGACCTTTAAGGCCCCAGTATACTCCCGCGTACGTCCATACGTGGAGATACGCACATACGTACGTGGAGGTACGAGTGTACCCCTGCAGGGCATGTCGTGCACAGCTCAATTTTTACGACCGCCTACGCAGTGTCGCACAATAAACTGCCCAGTGACGGACTGTTTTGTATGCGACACCAATGTATTAAATTCTCCTTCTTCATCCCTGATCTGGCCTTTTCTTTTGTTTTTTTGCCAAAAGGCAAGTGATCTCTTCCTCCTCCGTTGATGCCATGACTGAAATGGTGAAAAATGAAAGAATTTGTCACGAGCGAATTATAAACTCAGGTCC